TTTAGTATCCTTTGCCTTTCATAGTATTATTTTAGCATCGCTAATTCCTTATTATTGTTACTAATTTTTTTCATCCTGTACTCGGTCACTTTCTTTTAGTAGAAAGCCTTTAAAAATACCAAAAAAATACACTGATACGTAAGAATGAATTGTTATGTAAATCTGGGTCAGAGTTCAATTCCCTTCAAGCGTGAAATTATTTAATCACTTTCATTTGGCCAGTCGAAACAGTGTCACGCTTTAGGCCTATTATAAAACCTGATGAGTGAGCTACTCGACGGCTACAATCATCTTAAGAAAATCAGTCAGATAGAAAAAGTCCGAATTATCCTCGATTCTCAAAACAAAAACAAAAAAAAACTAATATAATTTGGTGAAAGTTGTGTCTGCTCTAACGAATGAGCATGCATGCTTTCTCAACATACTTAGAAGAAATTTGTAAAGAGTGAAGATTTGTTTTCTCTTTTTTCTCTATTTTTCGTTGTGCACATTTCAAATTTCAAAACCAATTGTTTAATAAAAAAAATATTAAACTTTGATGCACGATGTCTTTCGAATTATATTTTGTATGTAAACTCTTCTCTTCCGATTTGGCTGTCCGAACCGTTTTAATATAGTTGTTGTTGACAAAACAAAATAAAAAAAAATACTAAACTCTATTCGTATGAAATTATATATGTAATTTTTTGTACATCTGATTTGACTTTGTGAACCCTTTACGTTTATCTTCCAATTGTATAAGACTACACTAAAATAACTTCAACATCTGAGATCCTTCGAATATTTTTTATATCAACAAAATAAACACGGTTCTAATACACTACAAAAAAATATTCTAATTTTGACAATCAATTTGGTCTAAAATTGGTCAAAACAACTATTTCTGACTAGTACTTGACCAAATCGATTAGTAAAAAATCGATGGTCGTAAATGAAATTTGGTCAGAAAATAGTCAAAACGTTTTGACCAATAAAAATGGTCAAAATTTTGGTTTTGACCAACAAAGTGGTCAAAATTTTGATTTTGACCAATAAAATCGTCAAAATTTTTTGATCAATCAAAATGGTCGGAATTATATATTTTGACCAATTTTAGACCATATATTCTAACCAATTTTTGACCAACTTAGATATTTAAATTTTAGAACTATATTTTGATCAATTCGAAAATATTGAAATTCAAATTTAAAATATTTGATTCATAATAATTAAAATTAAATTAAATCTTTTAAAAAAAATTAAAATATAAAATATTTCAAAAAATATATATTCGAAAATATAAAAATTCAAATTTAAAATATTTGATTCATAATAATTTCAAAATATCCACTCAATCAGCGATTAAAATATTTCAAAATTCAACTATTTNNGCCANGAANCCNATTTACGTTTTTNACAATGGAGTAAGTGTTATTTTATANNNAAAGTCAAAGTTTCATCCCTNCCATATTGGCGATGTGGGACAAATANAATAGAAGTGTTCTCCTCAATATTTGGTCGATAATGTTGTGATCAATTTCTGTCAAATATTTATTCGTCAAAAATTACTCACGAAGTTTCGATCAAATTTTGTTTTAGTCGATAAATGGTAAGAATATTTTGACTATTTACTGACCACTTGTATTAGTCAAAAAAAGTTTGATCATATTTTGATGAGTTTAAATTTTCATATTTTGGTCGAAAATTTGTCAACAAACATTTTGACCAATTTATTGGTAAAAAATTTGGTCAAAAATTAACATATTTTTTTAACCAATTTTCAACCAATTTTCTTTGTCGCAAGTTTTCGACCATTTTTTGATAAATTTACGAATCCGTTAAAAATTGGTCAAAAAATTTTCGACCAATTTTTGACTTTTATATTTCATCATATTTTTTTACCAATTTATAACGAAAATAAACATTCGTCTAAAATTGGTCGAAATGGTCAAAATAGCTTTGACCACAAAAAAAATTGGTCAAAAATTGATATGTTTTCTTAGTAATACATAAAAATAATTTCAGGTCTATTTAGTTTAAATATCGGTTGTGGAACTATTAAATTTTCTTTGACATAAAAAATAAAAACTATTAAATTTTGGTTTGAATCCATTGTTACGATACTCTATATACTTTATAAAATTGTTACATATTAATAATAATCAGTGGTTAGTTAGTAAATCCAAAACTATTTAGAATACAAAAATTGAAATCGATATCCTTAAAAATAATTAAACAAAACTCACACTTTAGCTAATTACTTTATCAAA